TCAGGAGTTGTTTGCCGACTAATGTTAGACCCTTTCGATTGTCTAACTGGATAGGTATATGGAAATGCTAATGGATTATTAAATGTCCTAGTGTGCAAGAATGGTTCGTCTCGCGAAAATCTCTTTAACTTTGGAGAATGCTTTATTCACGTTCTTTTTCAGACTGTTGAGTTTCGCACTCCTACGATGCTGGCCTGTTAACTGTCTCATGCGAGACGCGCAATTCGCAATAATCCCTCGACAGAAATTTACCAGACCGTTGAACATACGTACTTGCTTGACTGAGGACGGTTCACAGTAATTCACTTTGATTTTCAGAGGGAGTATTCCTTTGGCACCAATAGTGTGTCCAAGAAAATCTAAGGAATCGGTGCCGGCTTGACATTTCTGAATGTCTACAGTAATGCCGTGTCTTTGGAGAGGTCCGAAAACAGCGTCCGGATTCTGGAGATGAGATTCTCCGTCCGGACTTGCGACAAGCATTCATCTGCACATCCTTGTACGAAGTCGAGACCTCCAAAGAGGTCATCGATAAATCTGTGGAATGTTTATGCAACATTTCTTACGTCGAAATGCGTGCGCGTAATTTCGTAGAGGCCGAGGAAGGTGATGTTAGCGGTTTTTTGAATGCCGTCAGTAGCCATGGAAATTCGCTTATATCTTTTAAGGTAGCTGTCAAGTCCCGAGTATGTGGCAACGGGTAACGATCAGGAATGGCCTCCACATTCAGTCAATGATAGCCATTACAATACTCTCCTTCGTTGATCAGAACTCCGAAACTACGCCTACAATCACTGAACCTCTACCCGTTAGAGTACAAGCGTCCAATAGGTGACCTCCGAGTGACTTAAAGACCACGGTGGATCTGATGCACATTTGAGGGCGCGGATCAGCATTCCTACAGTCGAACAACATGTGGAACTAAAAACAACCGTCAACTAACATCAAGGTCAAAATTTTCAATGCAAATGTCAAGACAGTTCTACTGAGTGGGGACGAAACCGGGATAACTACGAAAGCCATCATTCAGAAGATACAAGCATTTATTAACAAGTTTCTACGTAAAATACTTCGGATTCGATGGTCAGACACCATTATAAACAACCTACTGTGGGAGAGAACAAACGAGATCCCAGAGAAGGAAGAAATCAGGAAGAAGCACTGGAAGTGGATAGAACACACATTGAGGAAAACACGCAACTGCGTCAAAAGGCAAACCCTAACATGGTATCCTCACGGTCAAAGGAGAAAAGGAATAAGGAACACATTACTTTGGGAAATGGAGATAGACATGAGAAAAATGAACAACAGTTGGATAGAACTAGAAAGGAAGGCTCATGATAGAGTGGGTTGTTGAATACTTGCCGGCTGCCTAAGCTCCACTGGGAGTAAAAGGCTTAATTAAGTAATTAATTACTTGTAGCATCCTGAACACTTAAGGGCATCCTCTTAACCACCCACTTAGGCTCAGTCGCAACAAAAACCTTAGAGATAACACCCAGAACCCGGTGATACATTACACCCGAACGGACTGTAGATCAATATTCCACGGCTCCGGATAAGCCAATCCATGCAAAATTTCAGGAATTCTTTAAAAAGGAAGTTTGATATAATCTTAAGTACTAAGGGCAGTGTCTCGCCATAATTTTCAGAATTTTCCCTCTTTTGTCGTTAATTATACCCAAGTTATTACCTGGAGGGACAGATGATCCACTGCTACTAGGTACGGAAGCCCGTTAAGCGAAAGCTTCTTCTATTTCATCCAGGACCATTTGAACTTCCTGATGATAGTCCCATGACACGATTCAATCTCTCGCAACCGTCTCAGTAAAACTGCCAAATATTCCAAGTGATATATTTGGTCATTGCTTTAAGACCTCTCCATCTGCCGTGTCGAATCCATTTGCAGCGATACAGACTGGTGCTTTAATTTCCTGATATGTGAGCTTGGTTGATTTCGCGTTGGAGTCCTCAGTTAAGGAAGTGTTTGTTTCGCGCCATCGTACAAATTCATGATTCCCGCATTTTCACAACTTTTGTCTGTTAAGAGTCCCTGTAAACATGCACAATTCGCTGTGAACTTTCAACAAAAACTGACCAGGCCGTCAAATGTGATTGATTCCGGATAATCCATTTTATTTTGTGGAAGACGATTACTCTAATATTCAGTAATATACCTGTAAAAAACGAAGGGGACGATCCCGTTATTACATTTCTGAGTTTTCTCAGCAATCCCTTGCTTTTGTTGTTATTCAAAAGCAAGGTTCAAACTTGAAATCAATGAGTCATCAGTGAATACGCATACGGAAATGAATGCACTGAATGCGTTAACTATGAATCTCTGGACGTTTGCGAAGCATTTCTGAGGCTGAAGGTCACTCACAAAAAATCGTAGAGTTCGAAGAGAGTGACGATAGCCATCTCAAGGATGTCGTTTGAAGTCACAAGACCTTTGTTAACCTCTTCAACAAAGTTGATTTACGGTCGTTCACCTCAGGTGTCTGTCAAGTGGTGGATTTTTACTCTTTTTAGGGACGATATGCGGACGAGATACCTGCTAGGTTTGAGGTTATCACGAGTTCACTTAATCTGCGAATGAGAAACAAGACTCGGTGACCAAAGACCAGCAAGCTAGCTATTGATGCGTCCCATTCCCGCTAACTAGAGGGAGAAGATCAAGCTTGGAATGGGAAGTATATTCTGGAAAACAGCCAGAACGAGCGATCACAACAAACGCATTTCAAAACGTACATATATCAATTATATATGTAATCGATATTGCCATGGAAGTTTTTAAAACATCCAATCGATAAGTTAGCCAATCGACTGCCATTGAAATATTTAAACATTTAATCGATAAGAATAGTTTAGTTAACTAACAATTATACGGTAAAAATATACGTATAGAATTGGTCCACAAATGGATTCCAAAAATTACCACACATGATTCTTATCGGGGCATAGAAATGCCTATAAGCTATTCGATGGCTTTATACTGAACAACCAACCAAATGCTCGAATTTGTTTCTAGCCAGTCTTGGAGTTGATCGGCTCGCTTCCGAAAATACAGACGGGCCTATAGCCGCGATGTTGTATAACATTGCTGGTCAAACGTGGTAGTATCTGTCGTGTTTTGCGAAGTTCATGGTACTTGCTTAGTGTCAGTCAGAAGTATGGATCGATTATATATTCAACCGCAACCAAGCATATACGGCAACCAGAAAGCGTAGTCCCACGAATAGATGACTTAGTATTTGCGTCTAAGTTTGCTTGTTTAAGTTAGTATATTTTAGTGCCGTAGCAGGTCTATACAACGACTAGCATAGAAATGTCTTCTACGACGAAAATCCAGTGAATGTGTTAGCGCAAATCCACATCAAGTTAAAAATATATTTTACGGACGGTAGTGGTCAGTTTTCTATTTGAGTCTGTGAGTTGAAGACCGGATTATGTGGATGGCCTTTAGTATTTGCAAGAAGTCTGACTTCTGCTTTACTGTCGACGAGATTGCGAACTTTCCGTCACCAGATCAATAATGTATAACGGATGGCTATTTCCACCGGCTACTGTTGCCACTAAAGTGTGCTGGTAGGGAACTTTCCTAAGAGTTTGTCGTGACAGAAAGTCTGGCCCTGTGGGAGCTTTAGGGTTTTCTGAAATTTCTAGAGGACTTAGCGTACTTCTTGTGGCGCCAACACCAGTCATGATTATCCGCTTCTCGCGGTCTAGAAACAGATCTATTTGGTGAGTTTTCTTCGAGGAGCCTTGCACCGTCCGAGTTCACGATGAATGTTAAGGTGAAGGGTGATAATATGACAGAGATCTGTAAAGTCGTTTCCTGTCATTTGAGGCTTTTGTATGACAGAATAAATCCCAGTGCTGGGGTTCTTTAGAATACGATTAGCAGGTTCTGCTTGTTCATCGACAGCGTTGTTATTGGATGTGACAAGAACCGCTTACAGCAGATGTAGAAGCTCGGATGAAGTAGCCATCGTCGAAAGCCTGTTGATTAGTGACCTTCGCAAATATAACAACATTTCTGTTTCTGAGCTGAGTCTCTTATCGATTGTTTAGATCTCGTTTAGAGATATCTTACTGTAAAGTATTGTAAGGATAGTTAAAGAAAACTTATTTTAAGGTTAGGTTTTTCATACCACAAGCATTTTGCATTAGTTCTGACAATTCGTACAATTACCGGTAGTGATTGCAAAATTATCGTTTAAAAAACATGACCTTTGACATTCAGTTCTGGTTTGTGAACACAGCGTGATCCATTGATTATCGCAAACAAATACACTGCAACACACAGGCTATTCTAGTTTCCGGATAGATCAACTGATTCATTTATCTCAAGCCACATTTTGAACTTATCACTTGTGAGCTTACTAAACGATCTAACTGGAATCAGATGAAGGGTCTGATGAAGTATGATGAGGTTGAAAAAATCGCAAGTAAACATACCAAGAGTAGCGTACCTATTGAGATCGCGTGGTGGCACCTTCACTACTGAGAGGAAGTGCGCATGTGTCTATCACGCCATTCTTGTGGAAATCAGACTTCGATTTAATCAAGCCAGAAAAGTATGAGGGGTGTAATAGTCCCAATAATTAAATGTTTGGGTGTCCGTTCCATCAATATGTATTTAAAATAAACTAGTGGAAAATGATAGGTTACGAAAATAATATCACGATAAACAAGAATGGAAAAATGATATATAATGTTGAGACTAGGAACACTTAGATTGTCGTTCGGTGTAACAGATAATGCCTAGCACACCACCAAAGACGCTGCAGATATTCAGGGTTTGACAATGATTTTATGTCACACTGTTTTAATCAAAGTATATCGGCCCAGTCAAATAAGAAGTCAGAGATGAGTTCGAAGACGTAATTGGAAAGCATTCGATATGTTGAAGGGTGTGTGATCTAAGCTGGTTAGTGGTTGCAAAGGATATGGAGTACGACATACCCACTTGTGATCTGGTAGGAATACATGACCTAGCGCCTTAGGCTAGGTCATGTCCAGTTAAACTAATGCGGTCAGCATCAATGTTGAAGACTTACAGGACTGTTTATTTTGTGGATATATTTACCGCTACAAACACATTGGTCATTCCAAAAGCTTTGTTCTGTAGAATGTTTGGAATTCGGGAGGTGAAAAGCTGGAGAAGTATCAGTTAAATAACATGCGTTTATTTTGAGATCCCTGGTCTTCACCAATTATTCTGACTCTTAAATGCAGCAGTAAAACTATGTTTTCTAAAATTCTGAAATACATGATGTTTGATTTAGTGTTTTCGACTCTTGAGTTTGTTTCTCACTTACTCAGTATCACAGGGTTACTTTAATGGCTATATACTGGAAGTTTATCATTACTCCTCAAATCACATCAATTTACATGTGGATAAATTATCACATTTACTCAAGTAATTTGTCACTCAACATAAGTTATAATAGTACTGATGTTTACGTTATGGACTGTCTACGAAAAAAGGGGGAAAACGTCAACGAATGAACATTATGAGCATTGGATATTGATTAACAGCATTGGATGTTGGACTAGTTATGTCCACTCTAATAGTTCTGTTTTAGATAGAAATCAATACAATTTTGCTATTTTATGACGTCTTACCAATACCGTATGGATGTTAACGCTTATCTGACAAGTCCTGAATGGTCATGATTATACGTTGTTTGATTATACTCCTTCGCATCTCTTTAGTATATTTTGGTAATGTCTACATGTAGCAAACTCTATTCAATATTAAAATCACCTAATAAATTGAAAATACCATCTGTTGACTCTCATATGGATAAGAACCCCATGGTCCCAGCTAAACGTCAACATACGGAGGGTATTCTGTGGCAATGTTGGGAATGTGGCAAATCGTATGAAACTGGGTTTCGTCTTTCGGAACACCTTCAAAATTGCAAGAAAGATGATGAAATTTGTGAACAACTACCTGGTTGCCCTTTCTGTCCTCGTGTAATTAACCAGTCAAATGATGCTCCTTTTCATATCCATTCATTCAATACACATGTACATAGATTTCATCCAGAAATCAAGTCTTATATGTGCAGCTATTGTTTGGATTTAATTCATTCGTGCAAAATTGAAGATTTGGTATCTCATATCATCAACGTTCATAAAATACCTTGGAGGCCATCACCAGGTAAAGTGGTGTTTCTAGTAAATACCAATTTGATTTCTGCATAACTATCTCATGTTAATGTTTACTTCTCGTTTCACTAATCTTCGTTGTTACTGACCGTATGTTGACTTTCTTACAAATCATTACGAAGTATTTATCATTGATGTGTTTATTAGATAAAGCCAAGTACATGAATTTTACCTGGTAAATTAGGTAGAACGTATACCAAGAATTTCACATTGCACTAAGCATATAATATATATAGCAATTTTGTCATTAGTAATGCTGTACTGCTTATAGTAAATATAGTTGTTTATAAAGTAAACTGAACGACCAACTATTAAAAGATTTGAACTAATAAATCTTATAGGTCCACTGATGCTAGGGCTAACCTAGTATAAAACAAGCTCTAGAATCGTCCTGTATTTACAAGGAGTTGCGTTAGTTCTTGCCTTCATAATTATTAGGATAAAAAGTCGTAGAAAATGTTCTAATTTTAGCTTCACTCGATTTTTCTGTGTACAATTGTCAGTGTTTACTGTTCACTCAGTCTCCTCATGGCTTTCGTGGTGCATTAAAAAGTATACCACACAACTTTTCTTTTACGATAAGTATTACAGGGGATTTTATTTCTGGAGATCTTATGTTCCTAGCCTTTACTCATTCATTTTGGGGACTGTCAAATATACTTTATAGAATTATGTCATCTCTCGACCATGTAGGGTAAAGCACAAAAGTGTTTACTGCGATACATACCACGAAATATTAGATCAAAACACCTCATCGATTAGTGAAGTCGTTAGAATAAGCTGAGTCAGACATCTCAGTGGGACCTGCGAAATTACTATTTTTTGGTTATAAGCTGTGTCGGTATCCGCTATACTTGAGTCTCCAGTTTTTCTGTGTCGGTTCTGGTGGTTAGTACATCGAAGAATTGTAGTTTGTTGTTGGACTCGTTTTGCATTGAGTTTTTTATGTCACGGAAGACGTTAATGAGATGTAGGTGTTTTCCAGCTCTTTTCGACTCTGACGAATGTGTTGTCGACAGAATGAATTCACGTCCAACCTTTACTCTACAAATGTTCTTGATTTCTAGAGTTACTGATACGTTTTGTTATGGTTGCACTAGTACTATTCCTGTCAGAAAGTTTTCCGGCTGATTATCTTACTATACACATTCCTTATAAGCTATCTAGCGTATTTTTTACTATCAGATGTTCGTGTCTACAGCAATGGTATCATATCCAACAACATAATATGAGTATCTATATGTATCACCCTACATCTATCTGGCTAAACCTTTTTACGATTGAATAGTTTTCACTGGGTAAATGTTTACTCTTAGTAACAAAAATTTCATAGAACACAATTCATTTCATTATCTTATTTTTAATTTGTAGCTTCTCTAGCACATTTGCGAGAAAATCAACTTCCTCATCGAGTTGTTACTTGTTTAGGATGTGGATGGTGCACGTTTGTTTTGCGTGCTAATAATGCAGCACAACCACCTACCTCTTTAGAAGCTCATATGAATCGATGTTCATTCAATGGTGGTCAAGTACATCTAACGCGTTTATCTGAAGAAACTTGTATGTCTGCATTAGAAAAGTATAAAGTTTTACAAGAATCAGAGTTGATAAGTACTACTTTTGCCCAATCTTTTCCACACGTACGAGGATTTACCGGTAATTCTGGATTAAGTAATAGTCCATTTCGTTTTCATCGTTATTCTGGTAACACTGCATCTCGCGTGAGTTCCTCTTTCATAAAATCTGTTTTTATTACTAGTCAAAACTAAACACTTCATGATATTTGTAAATTAAAGTTCCCACATGTTATATCTACTGAATGGAGTGATGGTTCAATGGTTATGTGGTCCAACTCTCAGTTACTAAGCCATAGGTTCGAACCCCTCTCTGGGGAAATGTGTAGTACAACAAGCTGACACATTTACAGTGTGACCTGAAGCCAAATACTCTTCGTATATGTACCTGTCTAGTGAATATTCAATACAATCCGTGTTTGCTCCATGAATATTATTCTTTTGGTGGTGTTGAGTCCTGTAAGCTAGATGGTTTAATTATGTAGCTTTTAGTGTCATTCTGAGGAATATCAACGTCTACTTCATTTAAAAGGGAAGTAATTACTTAAGATGTTCAGAATGCCAATAAATGCCTCGTAATTAAACCATACAGCCCAGGGAACTCAGCTCCACCGAAAGTATCCTTCTAAGCTACAAGGCTTCTTTATTATTTCGATATATTATTTTAAATGTGCCTCCATATCACTAGACTTCTTCCATCCTTAATATTATTGTGAAGAGCATCTCACAGCAAGTAGGGCCTCATGTCTAAATAAACATTCTTAGTTATTATTCAATTTATTTGAATAACGAAAAAAATGAACGGAATTCATAAAACTATGTGATACCTTGTTCTATTAGTTTGTAGTAATTACTTATTTTTAAGGATTACAAGATTCCGGAATACCTCATGATTACATTCAAGATGTTTGATTTCTCCTATTATAAAAATTATTATTATTTATCTATTTATTTGGGCATATAAATACTGGTACAAGGGGGCACCAGATACATATGCGCCGCACAAATCTCATTTGGTTTGTGTGAGGGCTGTAATACTGCCCGGGTGCCCAAACCGAAGCAGGTGGTTTTCTTAGGGAACCACACCCGGAGCCTTTGACCTGATGGTCTGATCCACAAGCCAGTGAAGCATTCCCATGGTACCCGATGACCAACGATTGGTTCGTACGCTATTTGTTTCCTTGGGATCTTGGAGTCCATGTGCATCATTGGTTAGAAATAAGGGGTTCTCGGTTTGCCCAGGTGGACCCTTCGTATCCACCAACGCGGTTAAAGCGTCAGGCATTCGCTTTTCGTCCTGTCAATTTCGTAAAGAACACCCGTGTTGAGAGAAGGCAGTGAGTGGGACTTCCCTGGCAGAGGCTATATACGCGTGGCCATGTGAGAGCATTTCTAGAGGGATAGTTGACTCTCCCCACTCTCGACCGTACCAGGGCATTTGGGGGCAAGGTTGTGATGGAGGTGAGATTCACAATATTGCATTCGTTCGTTATTCCTCTAGAAGTATAGTTGTGTAGTATTCCTCCATACATACCCTGTATATTGTCTTCTCGTACCATATTATCAATGTTCATTCTTTCTTATTATCATCGCCACTACATTATTCAAACTCATTATCTATCTCACTAATTTCATCTTGTGTTGATGTGGAATAGTTGGAGACTTTGGATCGTTTGCAATGGCGCGTGTGCAGCCACTCTTTGTCTCTTGCCAAATCTTAAACTCTTTGTAAACTTTGTTTTCACTAATTTATGTTTTTTCTTCGATCCGTGTATTCGATCTCTAATCTTTATATTACCTTTGATACTATTACTATCTCGACCTGACAACTTCATCTCGTTATGCTAATGGGGTATGGCAACTTGAATCGGTGTAAATACGTACAGGTTCTACGGTATGACTATCTTCTGATATAGTATAGCAACATGATTTAAAGTCAGTGACTGCATGAACTATTGTCTTGGTTTATTTCCCCTAGCTTTCTATTAACCTACTTCTACATCAGGAATCGTCATACATCGAGGTAGATGATAGTTAGGCATAAGTAATATCATGAGTTAAAATGTGTTTATTGAATTATATTAACTTGTTTCTTTACTATCATTTAAAATATTGGTTAAAATCTATGTCTTGAACAAAATTAAGAGATCCTGACTATATTTTAACCAAATCTAATCTCATTAACTAGAAAATCTAGTATCCAATGTGTAAAGATTGTCATAGACTTGAACTTATGAGACTTTTTTTTCATCTAAAGTGTAATAAATGCTGATTATTCATTTGTGAAGTAGGTGGTTTATTACTTAACAACCACTATAGTCATGGACTCGAATTTCATTCTATCTACTTCGCTTTAGACAACCAGGTAGTATCACTAGCCCTATTACTTCAAGCGTGCCTCATATTCAAGTACCTGTTAAATGAGTTCATTTAACTTAAATTGTCATTTATCATTACATACACATAATATCTTTTGTTTATTACTCTTTTGATAACTTTAATTTTGATCTTATTTACAATAGGCAACGGATAATGTTGATAAAACATCAAATACTATGAGCAATAAAATTAATCGTCTCTCTACAGATAATAATAATAAATTATCAATTAAACAAAAATCTAAACTAGATACTGTTTTAGAAAAGTCAGATTTTCAACAAAAAGAAACATTTTTTGATATTCCATTGACTATTCCACCTCCACCTCCATCATCACGTACTACTGCTACTGGTCAAATAAAGAAAAAACCTACTGTTGGTCGTTTATTTGTATGTCCATTATGTGGTGATAATGCATTGTCTAGTTTACGTGAACGTGATGAACATTTACAATCTTCACATAATGGTGAACTTGTTTTCCCCTGTCAGGTTTGTAATTTATTTTGTTATATATCCCCATAATTGTTCACATATAAACTTAATGACTCTTATTAAGTGAAACTTCTTACTTCACTAACTATGCAAATTTGTCTGGTAACCATTTTTGTGATAATTTTTAGCTAAATTACCCAAGGAAACTGTATTGATTAACATCTGAAATAATAATAACACTTCATTAGAAGGCTTCTACTTACAATTGATTAATAACCAATGTCATGTATGTCAAACAGCTAGTGCTGATTGCATTCTATTGATCAAGTTGTATTGACTGAATATCGCGCGCATCTTGTTGATACTTAAGGTGATGGTCGACAGGGTACCTTAGATAACCTAGATTTCGTTCTATCTGACGCACCTCAGCAAGGTGTATCTGTAATATTGAGGGAACTAATGTTCTCTAGCGGATTTGATCTTGTATCACCCATCATCACAGTCAGAGATGTTACCACTGAGTTATTCGGCCGTGACTGATCTTCTGTAGAATTGAGATGTATTCACGATTGGTTGATCACCGAGTATTAGCCATTGTCATCAATGTCAATTTCTCCTTAATGCTGATCGAATTTTGTTGTTTTCAAGGTATACTGTATTTACTCGCCAACAACAGATGGATAAAATACTAGACAACCTGATAAATTCACTACAATCTTCATCTGTTTTTATTTTTGAAAGATTACTTTCTTTTCCTACGCTTCTTTATGTGGTTTTTTTAAAAATCGTATTCTTTCCTGTGTATACTAGCACTGTTGAACATTCATTCTACGTATTCATTGTCATATCTGTTTACCAATGCTTTCAATCTGATTTATCTAGTGGCTATTATTCTTTTTTAAAATCCATATCTCATCTGTGACGGGATAAATGATGAATCTACCGTAGAATTGCGTGCTTTTGTCTTTTCTTAAATGTTGTATTTTTATTCTCTACTTCGCAGAAAAGTCCTTGTCATTTTTTATCTTCAAGTATTCGGATTAACGTTTCTGATAGTTTTAAGTGTCCAGGTTTTACGTTAATGTCGTTTTTCACTATACTGAACCATCTATCAACGTCTGAAAACTCTACGGAACGTAGAGCAACATCAGAAAATACATACTACATACATACTATTTATACACCATTTGATTTAGTAGGATAATAGAGCTCATTTGTATCACTGGCTTAATAATCTAAGCTTTTTAAATCCTTTAGAAACTCAGTATGCAACAACTGACGTCCCGTTTTTGCGGTCTTGAGATTAGTTTATTTATTTAAACACATAAACATTGGTACAAGGAGGCACCAAATAGATATGCGTCACATAAGTCACTTGATTTGTGTGTGAGCTAAAGGTCTGATCCACAAGGCCGTGGAGAAACATCAGGTGATACAGTTCTGTGTTAGCCGGTGACCAACGATTGGTTCATACGTCATTTGTTCCTTCAGAATACTGGAGCCCATGTGTACCATTGGTTTAAAATGAGGGTTTTCCAACTCCCCTGGGTGAACTCTCCGTGTCCATCAACCTTGTTAAAGCGTCGGACATTCGCTTTTCGTCCTCTGAATTTCGTTAACAACACCCCCGCTACGAGCGGAATTCACTTATTTATTTGGATAAATAAAGTTTTGGTATTATAGCTGATGTCAGTTCGTGATGAAAACCCTCAATCTAATTTCTAACCTTAACCATCAACTGTAATTCATCATTCTGATTCCTCACAAGGGTTTACAACCCTCATTTGGTCCTATTTACTAGGTGGACACTCTCAAGGTCAGTCTATTGTCGCTCAACAGTCGTTCATAAATTATAGTGTTACCAAGATTTCTTCTTGATTTCTTTGAATGATTAAGTTGTTTTCGAATGTTCCACTCTTTATATATATATATATCCTATGAATTTATTTCGCATCTCGTATATGTTTATACATTACTCTCAATTAACATAAATACTTTTTGTTCAATTATAGATTTGCGGAATGGCCTATCCTCTTTACATTGCCCTACGTCGACATGCTGCACTTCAACATGATTCTGACTTTGATACAGTTCGTTATGGTCCATCAGATCTATTGGAATGTGAACCAATTGAATGTCCAGAATGTCATCTTGTAGCTTTTCAAGATTCACTTGTATTAAAACTTCACATTAATCGAGTACATAAGAAATTACAACAAAATGTAACACTTACATCTAATGATTCTCATCCAGTTGAAGGTACGTTATTATTATTATTCCTTTAGTAATATCGTACTCATAATGTGTTGTCTTTATGCAGATTTGTATAACGGACTTGCTTCTTTAGACTGTAAATGTTTATTGTGTTTGGGGGTTAATCAAAAATCAGTCATGATGAATCATAGTCCAATCTGTCACATTGTATGCATCAGCAGAATAAAATGAAATGAACGGAATTTATAGCGTGAAAGTCGAAATATAAGTAGGTTCTGTGGTTGTGGAAAATGATTAAGTAATGAAGAATAGAACTTTAAAAGAAGGGATCAAGTGTCACCGATTTTGAATTATATTGGTTAATCTCTTTACCCCTTCAATCAGGACTATTATTCGGACTGAAGTCAGGAAGTTGGTCAGTCAATCGTTTTACACATCGAGTTAAAGGGTAGTTAAGGACGTGTAATACATGTCACATAGCCATCTCAATTGACGGATGGTTAAAAATAGTAACTTCGATTTTCGGGCATGGTTAGCAGTCGGTTATTTCAGGCACACAAATGCTCGCGCGACTGGTCATCTTTCTAAAACCGTTTATTCCAGGTGTTGTTGTAGTTGAGCATGACACTAGTATTGCAACTGAACATGAACGTATCCTTCAAAGAAGACCCAACCACTACTGCTACTACTGCTACAAATGAATAATATTGGGGTTACGAATGGGGTACTAGGCAAATCGGTTGATGGGACTATGAATCCTCATCAGTCGAATTGATCAGAACATATGTTACATATCCGTAACCACCTACTTCTACGTGCAATGTTGGCTGGCGTAGGAGTACGTTGGAAGAGCGTTAGGAGTGATCATCGACTATCAATTTGAGCAATGTTGCTAGATGCAGATTGCCTTGTCCGTGCGACGACCGCAACTAGAATTTCGAAGTGATTCGATATTCGTTGTAGTAACACAGGTACATTTACTCTTTACCTAATTTTAAATCTTCACGTTCGAAATTGTTTGGTCAATTTTATTCTGCAAATTCACTTTTCATGAATGATGTTCTCTATGCCTAACGTTTCTTTTCACTGTCACTGATATCACCACTTCTACTATTTCACTATTCACTCTTTTGTGTTAATCGAGTACGGAAGTTTGAACCAATGCATATTTGCGTCAGGTTGTACGTGGCTTATAACTAATTGACTGTTATGATGTTAGTTAGACACCAACTTGTTACTTATAAATCAAATTAACTCACGTAAGGAAGTATATTTCGGAGATTTCACTGGAAACTAGCGTTTGTTAGGGAACTTAAAAATTGAGAAGCACTATTATACTATTACTTTCTCGTAGTTCCAGACATCTCAACAATAGATACACATAATCTCAAAACCTGTAGATCTTATAGCAAACATTATGGTCCCCAAATGCCCTGGTACGGCTGAGAGTGGGGAATGTCGGCTCTCTCTTCAAATGCTCTCACATGGCCACGTGCATACAACCACTATCAGGGAAGTCCTACTCATTGCCTTCTCGTACCACGGGTGTTTACGAAATTGAGAGGACGAAAAGCGAATGTCCGGCAGGGGCTTAAACAGGGTTGGTGGACACGGAGAGTCCACTAGTAGTGCACATGGGCTCCAGTATCTTGAAGCAACAAATAGCGTACGAACCAATTGTTAGTCACCAGTTACTATGGGACTGCATTTCCTTACGTTGTTCCACTGCCTTATGGTTCAGACCTTTAGGTCGAAGGCTTCGGATGTGGTCCCATAAGAAAACCGCGTAGTCCGGTTTGGGCACTCGGGTAGTATCCCAGCCCTCACACAAATCGAATGATTTTTGTGGCGCATATCTATTTGATGCCTTCTTGTACCAATGTTTTTGCCTAAAGAAATAAATATATTTTCATCCGGCTACTGAGATAGATGAGATCATGTAGCCTATGCTTATCCCATTTTCAGTCATTCTGTAATACAGTACTGTCTTTAACTACATAAGTTAACTACTAACTAGCTCACTTTTGTTATATATAATTAATATACCACCTATTAATTAGTTCTTAATAACATAAGGATTACTATTGGTGATTAATTACTAGTAAATAACAGAAGGGGTTTTGTGGATGTTATAGCAATTTCATAGTTGAGATCACGAGTCAGTTGAAGCTAGTCCACCATGGAAAACCTGGAAGCACTGGAAGGCCGTTTCGTCCTACTGTGGGATTCCTCAGTAGTGCGCATCCACGATCCTCCCACCTCGCGAGATTCGAACCCAGGACCAATCAGTCCCGCGCGCAAGCGCTCAGTTTCATGTATTAGTTGGAGTTAGACATTAACACCGTTGGGTGCCGGCTCAGCTGTCTAATGGTTAAGTGCTGATAGGTCGTGGATTGGAATCTCACTAAGCGGGATCATGAATGTGCACCGCTGAGTTGTCCTACAGTAGGACAAAACGGCCGTCTAGTGATTTCAAGTTTTTCATGGTGGTCTACCTTCAGTTGACTCATGATCTCAACTATTAAAATTAATAGTTAATAAATTTATAAGTAACTCTCCTATTGTTATATATCTAGTCAATGATAATTTTGATTATGTTTACAAAATTGAGTAGTCGTTTTAATTCATATTCTATGTGTATATTAGACAAACAATCGATATTTTCATGCTGGTGACAAACCATATTGGATAATAATAATAAAATTGAGAAAATGCTTCTCTAATAAATAAATTAACAAGTTAAACTAGAGATTTAATGCTCTAAATCTCTATGATGATTGTTATATTGATTTTTGTCGATGCTTCACAATGTGAAGATCCATCTTCTAAAAAACGTCGGTGAAAACATTTCGAACACTTATAAAATTTACAATTGATTGATCGATCGATGAGTAATGGGAAAATATCACATTTGTTTGGGTCGTTTAGTGTTGATCTTGTTCGACTGATTGGGTTTAAATATGTCCATTAGTCTAAGTCTTCGATACCTAATCTTATCTAATACCGCTAATATTGTTATTAACTCTACTACTCTGGGATTCTCCTTAATAAGATTATCTTACCGTATTAATGGGGTATGGTAACTTGAACAGATGTACATACTTACCAGGTTCTATGTTGCGTTTGACTGACTAGTCTAAGTGACTCCAGATTGTATGTACTTTGTTTACGTGCTAGGTGGTTGGAGGTATACGTTTTTGATGAGTAAGTCAGCCAGTCATTCAGTCGTACACAGTGTAGAACCTGGCACATGTATACAACAGTTCAGGTTTCCATACCAAAATTAGCATGGAACTTAGGTCCAAGGTTTCTTCCAACCACCCAACAATAAAGGTATTTAGTTTTTGTTATCTTCCATCCTCTAGAATAAAGCCCCTAAATGCTCTGGTACGGACGAGGGTGAGGAGAGTCAGCTCTCTCTCTGTTAGCGGGACATAGACTGGATTAAAGCGTGCTCAATGCACGATTGCTTTGGTGCACGCTGATTGGCTAATTCTTATCCAATCAGCACTAGCCGGTAGTTGGAGAATACTCTAGAATCTTCTCATGTAAAAACTATATACCGTGTTCTGATTTGGGGACTTATCGAGTGAATCGGTGTCCGAGAATACTAAGCAATAGGAATAGCTGGGTCATAACTGTAAGAAAGAGATTATAAAACACCCTCTCGAATTGCGTACACAGTCACTGCATGGGAAGTCCTACTCACTGCCTTGTCGTGGCGAGGGTGTTGTTTACGAAATTTAGGACGAAAGGCGAAGGCCCGACGCTTTAACTACGTTGGTGGACACGGAGGGTCCACCTAGGGGGATTGAAGACCGTGATTCCAAACCAATGGTGCACATGGGCCCCCTAAGAATACCACCTGCTTCAGTCTGGGCACTCGGGTAGTATCACAGCCCTCACACACATCGAATGGGATTTGTGTGGCGCATATGTATTTGGTGCCTCCTTGTATCAATGTCTATGTGTTAAAATAAATAAATAAAGCAAACTCCATCATGAAGTTAAATAAGGTTAATTTATCTAGATTCTATTTGTTCTCAAAAAATAATCGCATAATAACATCATTAAGATATACTATTTCTGTATATCATTACTAATATTATTTATTATCATAGATTTAGAAGTATCTTCAAAACCGCCGAAAATCAGCAAGACCAAAGCTACTAATCCTTCAATTCAAAAAAAGACTTCATTAAAAACTACTCGCCGTCGAGATACTACTGCGACTACTACAGTAAATCGTTCACGAACTCAATCGAAAATTAGTAAACCTAAAGTTAAACATAAATTATCTATTATTGGTGGTGAATCAGAAATTCTCACTGATAATAATAATAATAATCATCCCAATCGATCATCATTAAATGATGTATTATTACAAGATACTAATAGTAGTGAATTTGAACGTATGTTAAGCTCAATCGATGGTAAATCTGCTCCAGCTTCTTGTCGATATTGTCATATTGAAGTGGATAATTTAAAAGAATTACATCTTCATTTGGAATTAGTAAGTCATTATTATTATTATCATTATCAATGAATGATTTGTAATCAAAATAAATTGATGTATGTTTTAATAGTTGAGATCATAAGTCAATTGAAGCCAGACCACCATAGAAAATTTGGAAGCACTGGACGGCCATTTCCTCCTATTGTGGAAGTCCTCAGCAGTGTGCATCCACGATCCCACCTCGCGAGATTCCAACCTAGGACCCTATCAGTCTCGTGAGCGAACGTTTAATCTTTAGACCACTGAACCATCCGGCATCCAACGGTGTTGTTGTTCAACTTCAACTGGTCCACGAAATTGAGCGACACATCCACCATTGTCATCAGTGAGTTACTAACTCACAACAGATCCGGTTGAACTCTCGTAGTCACTGCTCCTCACTAAAACTCCAGCTCTTCCTGGTTTTCCATGGTGGTCTAGCTTCAAATAACTATTAAAATTACTATAATATCCACAAAACCCCTTCTGATGTATATTTATTTGAAAATCAAGACTCAATAAACTATTAGGTATTTCATGAACATGACATGAGTGATTGGATGTGAAAACCTGTTGCCAGTTTGCATTACTGGTGACGTAGATGAGATATCTCAACCAGTTGAGATTGTATACTGCACAGCAGTTCAGTCTGTTCCATTTTATAACTGTGAAACATGGTTCATTAAAGTAAAAGAAACGTGTATACTGAAGGTTCTAGTTTGTAAGTGTTCATCAAGTTTGATAGTCGAGAAATGCATTCCCAAAGTACCACATACCTCAATTTGGGATATTGGTTGGTGTACGAGTAGATTGAGAGAAAGGTGGGAGTGAATAAACCGAGGCGTAGCATCAGTTTTTAAGTTCATTGACTGTTGGTCTGAGTTATGTTCATAGGTGGAAGACGTTAGATGTCACAGTTTATAGGTATAGATGTATTCACCTTTCATCATCTTGAGCTTCATATATTACCATCGTGAATTGTCTCTATTTCTAAGTATAGATTATACTGGACTTATTTTTCTTGTTAAAAATAAATTACAATAGTTTGAATATTTACAAATTTTACATTTTTAGGAACATTTAAATCCTGATAACGATATTGAACAACTTGGTTGTCAAGCATGTGGTCGAGTTTTCTTTGGTTCAGGTGGACGAATTGATTTAATTGGACATTTACGTACACTTCATCAAGATGATTTTCTTCAAAATGTTTTAAAATGTCCACGTGCTGAAAAATTAGGACAAGATATTACTATAATTAATACTACTAATAATGATGGTAATGATAATACATGTCATGAATCTATTAAATCATGTAAAGCACATTTCTCTTCACCACGTCTACGTCAATTACATATATCTATGTTTAATAATAATAATAGTAATAATACATTATCAAATACAGAATTTTCATGTCCTATTCTATTTAATGAAAAACAATATTTAACAGATCAAATTAAAAATTTAATTTTACAAACAGAAATTGCAGCAGATCAAAGTGGTATTATGATATTAGCATTTTGTTGTCCTAATTGTTCACGTTTATTTGTTGGAGATAATGTGCATACTAGGTAAGTAAATCAGTAGTAGGAGTTGTTGTTGTTATCTAATCCCTTTCTGATATTACTTACTTACTTACTTACTTACGCCTGTTACCCCCAATGGAGCATTGGTCGCTGACCAGCATTCTCCAACCTACTCTGTCCTGGGTCTTCTTTTCTAGTCCCATCCAATTCTTGTTCATTTTTCTCATGTCTATTTCCATTTCTCGGCGTAATGTGTTCTTTGGTCTTCCTCTCCGCCTTTGGCCTTGAGGATTCCATGTGAGGGCTTGTCTTGTAACGCAGTTGGGTGCTTTCCTCAATGTGTATCCTATCCACTTCCAGCGCTTCTTCCTAATTTCTTCCTCCGCCGGGATCTTGTTTGTTCTCTCCCACATTACGTTGTTGCTAATAGTGTCCGGCCAACGGATCTGAAGTATCTTGCGTAGATAACTGTTAATAAACACCTGTATTTTCTGGATGATGGCTTTTGTAGTTCTCCAGGTTTCCGCCCCATACAGTAGAACTGTCTTGACATTTGTATTGAAAATCCTGACCTTGGTGTTGGTTGACAGTTGCTTTGAGTTTCAGATGTTCCTCAGCTGTAAATATGCTGCTCTTGCTTTGCCGATCCGCGCCTTCACATCTGCATCAGATCCACCCTGTTCATCGATGATGCTGCCCAAATATGTAAAGGTTTTTACATCTTCCAAATCTTTTGATATTAATCAACATATATTCATTAGTAACTGGCTTCAAGAGGTATTTCCTGGAGTTTTAGTGAGGGGCAGTGACTAGTAGAGTTCAACCGAGTCTGTTGTGATATAGTAACTCACTGATGACAATGGTGGATGTGTCGCTCAATTTCGTGGACCAGTCGAAGTTGGACAACAACACCATCGGATGCCGGATGGTTCAGTGGTCTAAAGGTTAAACGTTCGCACGCGAAACTGATAGAGTCCTAGGTTGGAATCTCGCGAGGTGGAATCGTGAATGCACACTGCTGAGGACTTCCACAATAGGAGGAAATGGCCGTTTAGTGCTTCCAAGTTTTCTATGGTGGTCTAGCTTCAATTGACTCATGATCTTAACTAATAAATTGCTTTAATATTCACAAAACCCCTTCTGATACATATCTAATTATTAATGATTTTTATATTTTCTAGTCTAAAAATCATTTTTATTGCAAGAATTTAAGACAAAAATTGATCGGTACTGGTGTTTCCAATTAATGCTTTATTTATTTGAACACAATTATTGCTACGAAGGGGCATCGAAAACATATACACCACACAAGTCACTTGATTTGTAAGTGGGCTGTGTTACTGCCCGTGTGCTCAGATCGAAGCAGGTGATTTTCTTAAGCGGACACACCCGGAGCCTTCGACCTAAAGGTCTGATCCACAAGGAATGGGGAACAACGTCAGCAGATGCAGTCTCATGGTAGCCGGTGACCAACAATTGGTTCATACGCCATTTGTTCCTTCAGGATACTGGAGCCCATGTGCACCATTGGTTTGGAATGAGGGTTTTCCAACTCCCCTAGGTGGACTCTCCATATCCACCAACCCGGTTAAAGCGCCGGACATTCGCTTTTCGTCCTCTGAATTTCGTAAACAACACCCCCGCCTTGAGAAGCCAGAGTAGGACTTCCCTGATAGTTGCTGTATACGCGTTTCCATGTGAGAACATTTGGAGAGGGAGATCTGGCTCTCCCCACCCTCGGTCGTACCATGGCATTTGGAGTCTCAGTTAATATAGATTGTTATCTTCCTTTTGAAGCTCTTATCTAAAGGCAACTGAACCTCATAGGCATGTACAAACGTACTGTATTGAATTTCATAGGATTATTGTTATTAGTGATTGTAAACGTTGGGTGATATAGCCTAAAATTCGTTGCAATAGCCCAGATAAATCGACTTTTTATCTTTACTTTTAAAACTGAGAGTTCAATTTCTTAACGAATCCTATTATCCTTGCAGAATGTTATCTATTAATTATACTATTCTGAGATTTATCTTCATAATTTCATCTTGTTTTGCTGATATTATGATGTGATGGTAATTGGAACTGATGCACATATGCATCATATTCTAGGTTGCTTATGGGCTATCTTTCAGTTAGAAGACATCAGTTCTTTCAAGACTATAGAAGCATATCGCATATGACTCAACTAGTAAAACATAGATATAACGTCTTTTATCGATTGTCTTCAATCATATAATACTAAATAACATTCATCCCAGTATTTAGGTGGAGTTTTGTTCTCTGAGCTGGATGGTTTGGTTGTGGAGCTTTCATCGTTCTTCTGAACGATATCATCAACATAAATTTCAGGTAAAAGTGAAATGTTCGAATTTCTCCACATGTGGTTCACAGTTTGTCCTGTAGACCTCGATGTTGACTGACTCCTGTCATTGTGTACTTCTTTTTTGGTTGTATCTCCTATTGGTTTGATTTTTGTTCCTGTTTGTCCATAATTTTCCTGATTGGTTGATAAATTGGGTCGATTTCAATGTGTTTGTTGATTGCTGATTGACCTGAGTGCCAAGCTTCTAAAGATCTCAACATTTTTTTCAGTCGAATGTGTCCGCAGTTGTTCACGTGCATTGATATAATTGAGGAAATGTCATGGCGTTTGACCGATAATTGGTGTTCATTCAGACGAAGATGAAGGGGTGGGGTTCAGTTTATTCGATGTAGTGCTTTCCGCAGTCGGAACAGTTTATTTTGTAGATAATGTTCGGTTTTTCTTTTTTCGTTTTATACTTTGGTTTTCATAGGATTGATTGAAGTGATTTTGCTGATTTGTGTGCTACACATATTCCAAACGGCCTGAATAATCTCATTGTAATTCCTGATGTGTCTTTTATATGTGGTAAGATGATCCGTTTATATATTAGTGTACTTGATTTCGTTTCTGCCGATGTATCGGGTTGATATTCTTGATGAAGCTATATGGGTAGCCATTCTTTTGAAGGGTAGTCATTAGATATTTTTCTCCATTTTTCATTGCTGCATTGTGTTCTCACCCTCCTGAATGAAGTTTGTGGGCAGTTAATTTAATTAGTTCTTGGTTTGTTGTTACTGTAATTGAGAATTTGATCGGTGTGGGTTGGTATCCGATATACTTGAGTCTCCGAACTTTCTGTGTCGGTTCTGGTGATTGGTACATGGAAGAATTATAACTTGTTGTTCGGCTCATTCTCCATTGTGAGTTATTATGTCATGGAAGATGTTGTTGATGAGATGTAAGTGTTTTTCAGCTCTTCTTTTTTCGACTCTGACGAATGTGTTGTCGACAAAATGAATTCATGTTTTTGGCTTGATCATTGGTAAGATGGGGGATTCCGGTCTTTGCATCATTACTTCTGCAGTATGTCCTGATATTAGTGATCCGATTGGTGTCCCTCTCGTTTGTTCGTAGATTTTATTGTTTAATTGGAAGTATATCGTTAAGCCTTCCTAAATCGATTAGTCCTATTAAGCTTATACTTGAAGCTTTGTTCACTTATGTAGATTTGTGTCGTTGATGAGGAAGAAACAGTGATAGAGAGTTTGCTGTGCTATGCTTCGTTACATTGAAGGGTAGTATCAGTTCTTTGTTGTTGATTTGAAACTCCTTAACGTTATTCAAGAATCGTATGGGAGATTTGATGAAGTGATTGGATGAATCCATTAAATGTTTCAATATTCTTATATTAAATACTTGCAACCTACACGTTTTTCACTTTCGAAACCTATGTTCATCATGTAACATATAACTGAACTGCCTCATGGTATGGTTGCCCTTAGATAATATTCTGTTATTTTTTATTCGATTTCATGCTGAAAAGACCTAGTTTGACTAACTTTCTCAAGTAATTTTGGACCGCTTAATATGACTTCCAGTTGATTTTATTAATAATTTGGTTTTTTTTTAATAGTACGACGTCCGGATTCACTTATACCTAGAGCTGGTAGTCTTGTACCGTGTATATAGATGTTTCGCTGTGAAGCATACCAGCGATATATGAATAACCATTAACATTCTCATCTTTTGCAGCAGTCCTTATCTATTGAATTTCTACAAATTCGAATAATTTTGCATTTTTCGTAGTATAGAATACTTGAGCTAAAAAAAACTATGCGAAACCTGGGTGTTCTAAACGGCTGTAAATCCTCAATAATACATACCAACCCCATTGAGGATCCAACCTAGGACCTTCAGACCATTGAGTTTAGATCCAACAGTTTATATTCCTCAGCCATCAAGACGTGATCATCGATCATTACCGTGATATTTGTTTCGTGCTAGGATGTATGCCAACAGCTATACAGTGTTTCCGGACTATCATTGGTTGTGTGATATACCCTAAATTGTGTGAAGAAAAGTAAGTAGCTGGAGCATTTCATATCATGCCAAATTTCCTTGCCTGAGCATTTATCCAAACAGCCACATTTAGCTTTACCCATTTCATACACATAAATCTCAACTCTACTCATTCATATTACAAGCTGCACATTATTCAGATCCACTATCATATTATCGTTTCACATAGAATCACATGAATGACATAATCAGATCTGTTTTGATTGAAATAACTATTCTACCTTCTTCCTCTGTACTATTTAAACCTGCGATCAGTTATCACAAATATATATTTAATCACTGCGTAAAGTTATCATATATAACTAGGTTTAGATCATTCTAGCTTTCATTTAATATACAGATATAACTTGACTCATTTTTCTGATTTCTGCATTCGTTTCATAGATTTGAATCACATCGTAGTACATGTGAAGCGGCAGCAACAACAACAAGTGATAATATGGAAGAGTCAATACATCCTATAGAATCAGATCAAAGTGTTGTTTCTAGTCCAAATAGTACTGAAGCTTCTGATTTACCTTGTTCCAATGTTGATTTACCTTTAGAATTTTTAGAAACTATGAAAACATCAAATGATAAATGTGTTGTTACTGAAAGTCAAACTACATAAAGAATAAAAAGTATATGTGTGTGTGTGCATGTCTGTCTGTTTGTATTTTCCTCTTTTGTACTTCTTCAAAGATATTGATGTATATTTTCTCATATCTATCTATCTATTTGTTATCATTATTAATACTATGAATTCTTTATTGGTATTTAAATATTATTACAATGATCATTTTCACTATAATCATTATTATAATCACATATGTCTTGTCCGTATACTTTGTCATTTACACACCATCCTTGATGTTTATTAAGGAGGAAAAAAGAACTAGGCGAACAAAATCTACATTACTCCTCTCTTTGTACAATTCCTCATATTATGATATATATATTTGTGTATAATATTTCTAAAATAAGATTATATTATTGTATAATTCATATTATATCAAAATTAAAATGTATCATGTTTAGAAATCCGTTCCTCTATCATTCTGCCCGTTTTATTTACCTAACTGGGTAGTATTATTGGCTTTTAACACCTAGATTAGTCAGTAACAATGTAAAACTTCGTACGTACGTATATCAGTCCGAATTGCCGTATCACATTAGCACAGAAATGCAGTTGTCGATTCAAATCCCATAGTGGTAGAGGTAGTAAGAGTATAAGCAGTAATCGGAACGATTAGGATGTAATCCAGTGAGATAAATTTAGAAAGAAAAAATAAGGGGCGTGAATTCAGAAGATTAGAATTTGGAAGAACACAAAGATTGGATGCACCTACGCCATTGCAAACGACTTTGAGCCATGTCACTTTCGAGGTCTCTAACCATCGGTTGCTATCGTCTCGCAGATCCCAATCAGGTGGTTAGACTACACCTACTGATATGTCTCAGTCCACTTGTCAGTGACTTCATAGGTTTGCGCCACGTTTTGGTCTGGCCGCCCCTAACTTTCTTCCAACCTACTCCTACACTAGAAAACATCGCACGTCGGGGCATTCGGTGTCTGGGCATACCTAACACATGTCACAGCCATTTCAACTGATGACCTTTCACTACTTCAACTGATTTGCCATCCTTACTTAGTACCCGTTTCCTTAGGCACGAAGTTATTTATGTCAATGTGACTGAACGTTAAATCAAGGGGGTGGGATAGTTTTTCTTTAAGTCTTTTATTAAATACACAAATTTCGGCAACAACGGTACCAAAGAAGTATACAATCATATCAGACCAAACTCCTGGCGTTTAAACAGGGTCGTTGAATACCGAAAGTCCAGATTCCGAACCAGTAGTGTGCATTGCCTTTGGGATACTGAGTGGACGAATGCCGTAGAAATTTAATTTGGTCAATTGCATTAATGCAATGAGAAGACGTAGTTTATCAGAATTATGTGATATATTTGCGTAAAACATTTCGAACAATCTGGTCACACATATACTTGTTAAGACACCTTTATATGAAAATTAAAAGGTCAACTAAACAGATTAAAGATAAGCCGTAACAAAGAAAAAATGATGATAATAATAATAATGTGATTACCACTCTGAATAATTGATCAATATTACCAGGGTAAGGATAAATTGTTTCTGGACGCACAAACAGCGTTTCACCTTCCGTATAGCTAAGGCTTCAATAAACTTTAGTTTAAGTCCTTGAAGGCTTTTGTATAACACTACAAATACTGATTTGATGTCAACTTTATGACTAGTCTCAATCAAATGTTTCGCAGTCGAGGATGATGTCTGTCTATCCTGTGATCTTATTTGACCATTGGAATTCATTTGCTTCTGTAGCCATTTTGGTCACAATGGACGTTATCCCACTGCTTTATGTATTCAGCCATCACCCCCTCCCCTTGAGTGGGAGGTTTGATGAGTGAACTCCTGAGGAAGTTATTTCTTTCAATTTGAACACCCAAGGCAGTATCATCCCTACCTTACGCAGAAATATGTTAATGAGAATCTTACTCCATTCATGTGGCTTAGCTACCCATTCAGATGATACAATGAAGAGAATAAAAGAGACGTATTTAGAATATTTTTTGTACAAATTAGTATGAACATAAATAAAATAAGAAAAAATAAACAAACATTCATATACTCATTAGTTTATGATTGAAAACTTCGTTTAGATTGTATTTCATCTAATAATTGTTGTAATTCTTCTTCTGTAAAACGTGGACTATCTAAACTTGGTAATAATGCTTTACTTTCTTCTGCTGTATCCGGTAATAAATTAGCTAATGAAGCTAATTCAAAATTATGAAATCGTTTTTGTGTTAAAAGGCTGGAAAAAAAGATTTATCAATAATAAACATTTTTCACTTAACTTACTTTCGTACACTTTCAATGGTTTCACGATTATTAAATTTAGAAAATTGTGTTACATAATTTAATGTTTTTGTAAATACTGGTGATAATTCAAGTTCATGGATTGTTGCATTTTCATTTTGTTCTTTTCTGTGTAGTTTAAAAGTAAAATATTAAAAATTAACTTATTTTTAGTTATAGCTATAGTAGTTTACAGATCATACGATGATTCTTTCGGATAATATTAATATTAGGATATTTTATTGCCCCTAAATGCCCTGGTACGACCGAGGATAGGGAGAGTCAACTCTCTCTCCATATGCTGTCACATGGCCACGTGCATAAAACCACTACCAGAGAAGTTCTACTCACTGCCTCCTAGCACCACAGGTGTTGATTACGAAATTGAGAAGACGAAAAGCGAATGTCTGGCGCTTTAACCTAGTTGGTAAACATGGAGAGTCCATCTAGGGGATTTGGAAAACCCTCATTCCAAACCAATGGTGCACATGGGCTCCAGTATCCTGAAGGAACAAGTGGCGTATGAATCAATCGTTGATCATCGGCTACCATGGGACCGCATCTCCTCATGATGCTCCACTGCCTTGTGGACCAGACCCCCAGGTCAAAGCCTCGGGGTGTGTCCGCCTAAGAAAACCACCTGCTTCGGTTTTGGCACCCAAGCAGAATCACAGCCCTCACACATATCAAATGAGATTTGTGTGACGCATATTTGGTGCCTCCTTGTACCAAATATCTATATGTTCAAATAATAAATGAAGTCAAATGGAACGTAGAACCTAGAGTGGATCCTAGAGAAGTACTAAAATGTTTGGTGGTAATAGGAAAGACTGCATCGAAAATAAGACTCTAGAAAACAAAAAAAATCAAAGAAAAATATCGACCCCAGTTTCTACCTAAACAGAGTGATTGGGCTTGCCTATTGTGACGATCCGACCGAGCTATATTGGTTGAAAAACTTGTTTTTTAGGTCCTAGCATGCCAGGTAGGTTAATTGGAGGGCAATAAAAATAAAAGCAGCAGACCTGTGATGAGACTATGAAGTCGTACTGCTGAATGTCTTGAAGTGTGATGGAAGGAAATTGTTTTCCTTAGACAACCAATTTTTTCAGTGGTATTATCTCCTCACAACTGATGGAAGGGGTTATGAAATGTCAGCTATAAAAATGTCATGTCACGTTATCCAAAGGATTTTTATCTAATACAATGACCGTTATTTGAGTGACTAATGGATAGAAACCTAAGGACTGACAAAATCTTCAAGCCTTGAGCGTTAACACTTTGTAGTTCGATATGCTATCCCAGTCACCGCCGTTAGTCTAGGAATTCCTGCCTCATGAGAACCACTCTGAGGCTTACATTCTAAGAAGTACCTTGTTAAAAGTCCACTAAATGTCTTTGTACATATCTGTTTCCCATAAAGTTGTCAAATATCAATTAATTCAGACTGATCTTCTTAAACGACCTACTGAAAATACAATCTGTGGTCTGGACCGAAATGAGTGCCAATGAATTTTGAAAAACAACATGTTTAAGTATGCTCATTTACGTAACCAAAATAAACTGCAATATGTTTCGATGATAAACCATTTCTAAGGTGAGAAAAACCGCGAAGTAATGCAATATTATACCAAATAATCAAGTCTATTACCAAACGAGTAAAACAGACAAACCTATGTTCCAACAATATTTTAACTTCAGCAAGCATAAGTGTATCGGCATTCTCAAAATCTGGAAGATGTTTAATTCAAATAGAAAAATACCTTTAGAGAATTTCAATTCAGACGCATCGAAATCATCAGCCACTGCGTGCATTTGCGACATCTTAACCACAAGGTAACGTACAACACTAAATTTGAAACGCGTGTAGTGTAGTTGCCTCGCTTTGTTAATCAATCACCTTGATAACCGTTATTATGTAAATCTTAACGATGTTTGAGATCAGAAGGCAATAAGAAGCTATAACTAAAGTTTATTAGCGGATATCTCAGATCACAAAGCTATAAGTAAATCGAGGGAATTTGAAGCAGAGAGGCGAATGTATGTGATCAGAGGCAAATTTATAGTCACAACAAAGCAAAGGGTAATAATAGGATTCGCACACATATATACATGGAAAAGAGAATGAATCATCGAGCGATATTTCAGCGATCAACATTCTAGCTAGTCTGTCATGTGACCAAGCCCATATGTTTATACAGTTATGGTAGCGCTCATAAAAGTACAGAAACATGCGAATTGTTACTGTTCAAATAACATTGTCTGTTATGTAAGTTAATAAGAGGGCTTAACCGAAATTATCCACAATCAAAATTGGTTGTAGGAGAGTTGCTATAGTAGCGGTAAGTAAATCCTTGAAATGAATAGTTCTGTAATTTTTAAAAATTAATGATTAACTTACTAGTTTTAATGGACACACCTGGCTGGAAGAGCTCGGTCACACATCGGCACCAAATCACGAGTGCGTACGTCGTGATGCACATCCTTTGCGAATGTTACCCAATTCACATTAAACGCTTCCCTATACACCGATAGTCTTCTAAACATATTTACGAACTTCCCCATTTCTGACTTCTGGTTTTACTGGTTTGGCAGACCTCCATTACAAAGAAGTTACGAGAAAAGGTTTTTTAAATCTCCGAACACCTATGACATATTTGGTGATGAGACTGACATTGTAGCGGTAAATAAATCCCCAAAATTAATAGTTCTGTAAGTCTTCGTTATTGGATGCCGATCACATTAGTTTCAATGAGCTCACCTAGCTGAAGGCGATCGGTCATGCATCCGCACCAGATCACGAGTGAAGACGACGTGCTCAACAACCCCTGCATCACTGGCCAGATTATATCAGACGATATATTGATAGCCTATCAAATATATCTTCGAACCTCCTCGCTTCTGTCTTTAGATTTCACTTGGTGGGTACGATTCATAGTAGAATGTGCTACTGGTTAAAGCGTTGTCAAACTCCGAATACTTGTGACATCTTCAACGTTATCTGGTACATCAAACAGTGAACTATTAGTCTGTTCCTCGTTGGAAAACTACATATCATCTTTTTAAAATTTCTTTTTACATATTGCGATATTGTTTTGATATTTACAGATATATTTTCACCTTTAGCATATCTTATCTTCATCATGACTGAACAGATACTCAGGTTACTTAAGACTCTTTCACCTCCCGAAATTCAGCTCATGCAATTCTGGACCAGAGATATAGGAGCCTGATTCCGTTACGCAGCTGATTTCCTCTAGAGTGGCTGGCAGACACACGTGCACAATTCCTCAAGGTAGTGGTGGAACTACTGCGCGATTTTGACAGATGCATCACACCATGCATGTTTACTAGTGAGGTTTCGGGTTGTTACGACACTTTGAAGAAGGCCTATCTGATACAAAAAAGATCAGACCGATTCTTAAACAATATTTAGGGCTGCGACATGGCTCAGAAACAGAAATGTTGCTACAAATGTAAGAGGTTATTGGTCAACGAACCTTTGACGAGAACCTGTTTAGACAGCACTTCTTTTCTAAGCTTCCCTAACAGGTCCAGGATGTGCTTGCTTCATTTAAAAAGAACACTATACACGACCAGACTGCATCTACCGACTGGATTATGAAGATCACCTGAACCAGCAGAGACGGGGTTTGTTCCATTAAAGAAAAGCCTTAAACAATACAAGAGATATCGCAAACCTCTGCCTTACCCTGACTCGTTATCGTACCATTTATAGCAATGGTAGATGCTCCAACACTTCCGGAAGAAGTTCGTCACAAAAACAGCTTGTCTTTAGATTACGAGGGCAGATAATCCTGATTGGTGGTGTTACTAAAATAAATGTGGTAGGTCCTCTAGAAATCGCAGAAAGCCCTGACGTTTGTCAACATCCAAACCGTCCGACACGAAAACGTTTTGGGAAAATTCCACGCCGGTACACGTTAACGGAAACGGTAGCCGGAAAACATAGATGTCTGTAGTACAGCACTGATGTGATGGCGAAAGCTAGCTACCTTGTCGATACGTGCACTGAACTTAAGGTTCTTCCAGCAAATTTTAACGGCCGACTGCACGAACCGGTCTACAACTTACAGTCGGCAAACGGAAACTGATTGCCACACATGGCAAGCGATATTTGCATTTTTATGCGTTATGCAACATCCCAGAACCAGTAGCTTTGCCACGATCTTGAATGAACCGATTGCTTTATTTGCGCCCGCTTATTATTGTTTCACTAAGTTTTCAAGTATTTGGTGATGCCTAGTATGGGCTAGTATAGCCATTCGACTGCACTAATTATAGTCATTTTAATAGTTATTTGTGGATTTGTGGGTTTTAAAATTTGAGTGAGTGCATGCCTCAGGATAGTAGTGATCTCGGTTACCAACAGATGTTCCACTATCAGGCAGGAGTTAGTTTTTCTGCAATGTGGAGTCATAAAGTGATACTTAGAGTGCTAAGAGATGACTGTTTCACGAGTAACAAATAAGTCAGTCAGTTGGTAGTGTGTAAGAGGACAGAAATTAAAGAGTAAAGGGGAAGCAGAGATAATAATTGGGGAGACGATTATGTGGTACTGATAATCACGCTAACTTATGAGACATACTTCACATACTTCTGATCCAAATTGAAGATCCAAGGATGAGCATGAATTTGTCAAGCTGTGGTGCGTGCTACTTATATTGATATAAGTAGTATATAACGTGAATTAAAAGAACGTAATGTCTGGCAGCAGAAGATGGGGAAGATCAATAAAGGAAGAGCGAGAACACAATGGAATTTGTAAGAAATCGTATGAGCAATGAAATGTGAGACAATGGATTGATTTTTACAACAGCAACAGTCCGGTTTGATATGATGGAATGATATTTTGCAAATTAACGATTTACTATATGGTTTTTCTATTTTACCAAGTAACTCTGTAATTTCGTGCTAAATACAATTTGGTTGTCCTCACCTGTGTTCTCCTTCACTACAAAGCCACACTCAAAGGCATCAATTGATGGGGCTGTGGTCACTTTGGCTGGGAATACATCCCAAATGAGGGGAACTCTCGGTGAGAAAAAGTGGAAGCGCACTTGTGTGTTCGTTCCTTGACAAGCATTCTTTCGACAGTCGCCTGCAGCAGCGTGGTGATTATGTTTTAGTAATACAGTGTTTAGGTGATGTTTTATGCTCATTATGTTGTATGCCATTATCAACAAGGATAATTCCAGGAGCTGGAGTCTGCTCGTAAGATTTATTTTTCGGACCCATAGCCTACTTGGTTGTCCGTCTTTACACCTGATCTGGGAGCTTTATGTCTAGTGAAGAGAGAGGACGCAACAATATTGTAGACTTCAGGTTGGTGCTGTACGTAGGCTTTAAACAGTGTTAGATCAACTCCAGGGTGATCGCGTCAAGTTGCCTTTTAATAATGTGGAGGGTTGCGCTTACCTTGGCTGCATCTCTGGTGTTTGAGCTATCCGTTGTTGCAAGCCTGAGATCATGCTCTGAGGAGACAATCGAGAGAGGATTTCCATGGTAGGTGTAAGTGCTAATGAAGCAGTATTTATGATATGACACTCCGCCGGGGTAAGTTTCAACCCATTGTCTACTGCACATTCTTCTGTTGCTCTAAGGTCGTTTATATTATTATTATATCCCAATAAGAGTAATGAATAGTAACTGTTGGAATCTATTTCTGGACTAATACTATACGTATATTTTTGTCATATTAGTGTTAAGTGACTAAACTATTCATATATGTGCTCTTATCATAAGCTTTATTTTGACTTATGAACTATTATTGTAGGATTTACCATTCTTGAATTATGCTCTGTCCATTAATTACTACCTCTCACACTCACAGCCACATTTCGATAAATCTTGCACAAATATTGTTTCCGATTTTATGGTACGATATTGTCTGTTTAGTTGGTATACAAACCGAGTATGTCTGAAATAAAGGATTCATATTGCAGAAGCTGAGATTGGTTTTCTGGGCTAAATTGGCTGGGCTAGGCAGGGAGCAGGACCGGTAAGTACTACAGACTGCTCGTGCGGATTTTATGAGCCACTGGTTCGATCGATAAATCACTGTTCTCTAACTTTCGGTATCATCACGTTATACAATAACAGGGCACACACGCCATAAGTGAGTTCTCTACTCCTTTAACGGACTTCTAGATCTTTTCGTCGTCTGCACAGATCAGTGTTCTTGAGCAATTTTTATCTAACAGGTCTTTAAGAGAGATCAATAACATGAGCAGACCCTAGTTTGTTTCTTGTGAATCTCTTGACATTGAAACCTTTGGTGGTATTGGTCCCTGATCACTCGATCTTTGAAGCCGAATATAAAAATACTGGGAAGATTTACATTCATCACGTAACACTTGGAGAAGGTCAAAATTGTGAGCATGGTAGCACAGAATTAAACGGCATGGCTCGACCATGTAGACTTGGTTGCTCTATGTGACCTATCGCTTTTTTTAAATCTATAACTCCATTCCCATTAAAAGTGTGTCCTTCAGTAGTGCTAGACGTCATATTTTCCTGATTGTCACGATATGACGTGTCATTGTAAGCTTTGATTGATTTCCATGTAAGAGCTTATGTATTAGGCAGTCACGTCATAACAAATCTACAATTTTAGGATCTGGTTCATCATTACATTAACAGAGATAATTGTACTAAAAACGAATTAGGACATAAATGTTGACATATTCTCAGATAATATGTTCTAAATGGGTGGTAAAAATTAAACATACTAGCACCAAAACAACCATTCATAGTATTATAAGTCATTATTAGATCACGTTGTAATTTGCGAAAATATGGCA